GTGGCGAATGAGATTAAAAAGCAAACAGGGAGGCAAGTAGAAATCCAAGACACATAAAATATATTAATAAAATAGAGTAGCTCTTTACTTCTTATATTTCACAGACCTACATAAGGAAAGTTCAGTATTAATTAGGCTTTCTGCTTTTAAAGAGGGGGCAGTGTATGGAACACAGTTATTGCATATTTTTTTTAAGAAGTAGTTGTTCATTATATCACATTATGATTTGATTTGAATTAAAAATAAGATGTTTTGAATCAAGATTCTTGAAAAGCTGGTAGCTTGGTAATGCCAGAAATTTTCAGGACAAGCATATTATCTTAGACTATATCAGTCTGACTTCAGATTTGAGATTTGTTGGAATAGATAATCTTTGGGCTTTTATGTGGCTACATCAATGTGCATTCCTGGCATCTGAGCTCTGTTCTACCTCAACAATGAGGATGGTGATTACTGTTGTCTTTGTAGCTTTAATGTGGGACAACTGAAATGGATTCACCTGGCTCAGTTAGTTGGCATTTAAATCCAGTGGTAATGACAATAGCTTATGACTTACTGGCCACAACGGGTCAGTATGCAAAAGGGCATCTTTTCAGAAAAATATGAAGCATGTGTCTGGAGGAGATGGAAGGATCTAAATTTGCATACAAATCATATATATTACAAATAAATTTTAGTAGATAAACCAGCTCTAAATACTAGTTGCCTTAATTTTAAATTAAGTTAAATTAAGTTACTAAGCTATGGCGTATGAAGGAAAATTTTTAAAAAAGCAGATAGTAATTTTGTGATAAATTGCATACAAGATATAATCTGCATAACTCTAAAAAGTAAGAGGCAAGAAACTACTTGTAAGGTCAGGAGGAGGAAAAAATGAAAGTGCTTCATTTGCAATGGCTCAATTCAACTGCAGACCATTTGTCCTAGGAAAATGGTTCAAGAATGCAAGACTGTGTTCTAAAGACAATGACTCATCAGCCAGAGCTGTATAGGAAAAGGCCAAGAAGCAGTCACCAAGTCATGTGTGTTTCTTTTGTTTATTACAACTTCTTTCTTTTTAATATTCTCATAAAGGCTTTGCTGGAATTCTATACTGTCCTTATGTCGATGCCTTTATTAAGATTATTTTTTTAAAAAAAATCTTTTAATTTCTCTTTACAGTTGTCTGTGATTAATTCCTTTTATAATAGTAGTAGTAGTAGTAGTAGTAGTAGTAATAATAATATAATAATAATAATAATAATAATAATAATAATAATAATAATAATAATAATAATAAAAGTTGGAAGGGACCTTGGAAGTCTTCGAATCCAACCCCCTGCTCAGGCAGGAAACCCTTTTCAGACAGATGGCTGTCCAGTCCCTTCTTAAAAACTTCCAATGTTGGAGCATTCACCGCTTCTAGAGGCAGGTTGTTCCATTGGTTAAAAGTTTCTCCTTAGTTCTAGGTTGCTTCTCTCAATTAGTTTCCATCTGATGCTTCTTGTCCTGCCCTCAGGCACTTTGGAGAATAGCTTGACTCCCTCTTCTTTGTGGCAGCCGCTGAGATATTGGAACACTGCTATCATGTCCCCCTTCGTCCTTCTCTTCATTAAACTAGACATACCCAATTCTAGCAACTGTTCCTTATATGCTTTAGCCTCTAGTCCCCTAATCATTTTTGTTGCTCTTCTCTGTACTCTCTCTAGAGTCTCAGCATCTTTTTTACACCGTGGTGACCAAAACTGGATGCAGTATTCCAAGTGTGGCCTTACCAAGGCATTGTAAAGTGGTATTAATACTTCACGTGATCTTGATTCTGTCCCTCTGTTAATGCAGCCCAGCACTGAGTTGGCTTTTTTGGCAGCTGCAGCACACTGCTGGCTCATATTTAAGTGATTGTCCACTAGGACTCCGAGATCCCTCTCACAGTCACTACTATTGAGCAAGGTACCCCCTATACTATACCTGTACATTTGGTTTTTCTTGCCTAAATGTAGAACCTTACTTTTTTCACAATTGAATTTCATTTTGTTAGATAGTGTTCAAGTCTGTCCAGATCCTCCTGTATCTTAAACCTGTCTTCTGGAGTGTTGGCTATTCCTACCAGCTTGGTGTCATCTGCAAATTTGATGATTTCCCCATCTATCCCCTTGTCCAAATCATTGATGAAGATGTTGAAGAGCACTGGGCCTAGAACAGAGCCCTGGGGCACCCCACTACACACTTCCCTCCATGTAGATGCAGTTCCATTGAGGACCACACGCTGAGTAGGGCCAGTCAGCCAGCTATGGATCCATCTGGTGGTGGTGCTTTCTACCCCACATTTTTCTATCTTGTCAAGTAGGAGGTTGTGATCTACTTTATCAAATGCCTTACTGAAGTTCAAGTAAATTATATCCACAGCATTCCTCCGGTCCATCCATTTTGTCACCTGGTCAAAGAATGCAATAAGGTTTGTCTGGCTTCTCTTATATGCTAAAGTCACTGGGTTATGATCTGAAAAAGTCTTTGGCAATATCTCCATTTTAGCATTACACCTAACGTGCTTTTTAGAAATCCAAAATATTTCTATTTGAGAAAGCTCTGTGTCTTTCAGAAAAAGAAGTGCATTTGTTATAGTCACCATCATCTCCTGCTGAAATAGATTCTTATTCCAAGTTACTATAACTCAATGTTTGATCCTTTTTTTCTTATACATGTTTACTGTAAGCAATTTTTATCTTTTCAAATAATGAAATACCTTATTTGTTTTTTGAGCAGCACTCTCCCCATAGCAGTGTTCCAGTATCTGAAGCACCAGAGGGAAGGACGAGAAACAATGGTTGAAACTAATCAAAGAGAGAAGCAACCTAGAATTAAGGAGAAACTTCCTGACAGTAAGGACAATCAACCAGTGGAACAGCTTGCCTCCAGAAATCTTGGGTGCTCCATCACTGGAGATTTTAAAGAAGAGATTAGACATTCACTTGTCTGAGACAGTATAGGTTCTCCTGCTTGAGCAGGGGGCTGGACTAGAAGACCTTCAAGGTCCCTTCCAGCTCTATTCTATTCTATTCTATTCTATTCTATTCTATTCTATTCTATTCTCCCAATTCAACTGCTCTCTTAATATCTTTTAAATTTTTATACTTCAAATCTTTTGTAGGTTTTTTTTCCTATTAGTTGCAAACCAAATGCCCTTAATGCGTGCTCTACATGAGGCTGTAAGCCTGATATTTTTTCCTTGGCTCTTGACACTCCCCTTGTGAGATCCTGTGAAGCTTCTGAAAAGCAATTAAACCATTTCCAAAGGTGATTAAGAAATGAGGTGTGGGGATCTTTTTGTCAATACATACTACATTACACCTGGTTGAAATCCCTTGATTCATAAACTGAACACAGAACCTCAGTTCCTGAAGTCCACTCATGAACAACAGTTGTCTGGAGCATATATGGGTGATCTTATGGTCTGTCCTTTTTCTGGAAAGATTTTGCTGGCCAGAACCTTCTGGCTGCTCATTTCCACCGTAATGCTGTCTCTCCTTTTCATGTGCTACAAATTCTCACTGGAAATACCCAAATGAACATTTTCAGGAAAAAATAATAGACTTAGATCAGCATCTAAAATGAAATTCACAGGTGTTATGTTGACTCCTTTTAACTTGCTCAGTAATGTAGTTTTGCTTAAAGTAGCATCTCGTGTCACACATTCTTGTGATAAGCATCCTTTACAAAGTTATATTTCATTATCAGGATGAAGCTTATAAAATGTATGTGTCCACTGTACAGCAGTCATTTTTTTAGTGAAAAAATCTCTTTCAAGTTATTTGAAAATTTCATGAAATCACATCTGATGAAAGCTTTGAGAAGGGATAAGCCATCTGTCTGAACATATAAGTCAACAACAAAGAGATATTTGGGAGTTTTCCAGTATCTCTTGGCACTTAAGAGGTCTGCAATCATCTCTTCCTCTTCACATAAGAGTCAATTGTCAAACTCTGCAAGGCTGGCAAGCGCAAAATACAAAAAACAGTTGGATTTCTGGAAAGACCTTTATTGCTGGTAGGGTAATACAATTTTGAAACAAATTATCCTGGACAACGTATACCTAGAGTAATTAAGGCAGAGTTATTCTGAGTCTCTTTCTCATAGTCTCCCCCTCCTACCAAATCTTCTTAACAGCTCTGCTTCTCCTTTTACAGTAAAGCCTTGCTACCTCTTTGTGTTCAAAAGTCAGTTAAGTCAGTCATGATCAGAGTTCTTTTTCTCTGCATTTACACAAGCCCTTAGTCAACACAGCCACTTCCTTCAGGTACTCTTGATTGACACACAGATATTCTCAGAGTAGTATCATAACCATGAAACTTTCTATCTTCAGGAAGAAAATCTTTCCATTCACCACCCAAGTTGTTTCATTTCTTTGTTTCAGTTTCTTGTGGCCAACCCAAAGTAGGAAAAGACAAGGTAGATTATCCCTCAAACTAGTAATGTTTTTTGGGGGGGGATATTTCTTAAAAGATGCTTCAGAGCACATGGAGGCACAAACAACTGCGCTTGTCTACTTCCAAGTGACCAGATCTTTCCCTGAGATTGCATGACTTTGAATCCAAAGCACTGCACAGTTTCCCTCAGGTTGGTTAGCCAACCATCCCAAACTAGTCACTTTTTAAATTTTCTCACACCCAGTAAATTGTTATATATTTGGTTGACCAGACATTTTTTAAGATTGTTTATTGGAAATTATTTCATCTCCATAGATGTTTTAAACCATTTAAATCCTTGTTTATGTTTAATCTTTATTCTTGTAAATTGCCTTTGAGGTTGCTTCTGATTTGTTTGTTCAATTGGAGGTTATTGAATTTGACTTACATAAGATCATATTTTGCCACAAGTTGATTCATACGCTAAAAAAATAAAATAAAATGAGGTACTCAATCCAAGCAGACATGTAAAATAAGGATTATATGATCTATCCATGTGTTATTTTCTTCACTACAAAATTTGTGTTGCTAATGGATTTGATTTCTGTTTCATTTTAGAACACCCTCCAAATTCAATTTTGTGGACGATGGTCAAAAAACATGACCTGGTTAAATGGACATCCACCACAAGATGGCGATAATGTCATAGTAGAAAGAGGACATATTTTACTATTGGATACTAACACAAGCGTTCTTAATATGCTTCATGTCAAAGGTTTGACTTTTTTTTATCAATCTTTTTTTTTTAGGTGAAGGAATTTCATTGTTAGAGAAACCTGAAGGAGAACACTAATATATACTAAATATATGAAGCACTGGGAAAATGCTTTCTTGCTAAACTTTACTAAATTATATTTATTTGCCATTCCTACCTGTCTGTATACACTCACATCCAGCCACAGACAAAGTAAAAAGATTCAACAGTAGCAAAAGTAGGAAAAAAGTATCCTGCCTCCATGGAATTATTCAATACTTTCTTGTTAACACTTTTGCACACTTACATATAAAGATGATGATGATCATGATGATGATTACGATGTATTATTACTGCTATAGTAATAACAATAACATTATTGTACTCAGGTGGTTATAGAAGAACATGGAACTGATTACTGACAATGTTGCTGATGCATTGTGATGACTGCTCTGACTTTTATCATATCAAATTACCAGGTTTTTGGATCCTAAGATAAATAGAAGGGAAGTAAAAGACAAATTCTGATAGTTCTCCTTCCTCAGATCTCCAAAGGCCACACTAGAGCCTTACTGTTCCCTCCTGGTATAAGAGGAAAGATGGAATGAGCTGGAAGAAGGGAGGACAACACTTTCTAGTTTGTGAACTTGTAAACTTAACTAATTTATGTTCCAGTTTAAGCCAATGTGTTGAATACAGTAGAATCCATAAAATTGGAGACGACCTTGCAGATCATTAAGAGTGCTTTTCTGCTATGTGTAGGAAATCCAGTGTAAGATCATTCCAAATTGTAGGCTATGTAGTACTGCCAACACCCATTATCTGACTGCTTTGATTTTACAAATAACCTTTCAATATTCAGCCCTGTTCTACTGTTTTATTAAACTTATTTAACGGCAGCAAATCCCCTTTTCTGTATTTCTGTATCTGAAAATTGTTCCTGCATTTCAGGAGGACTAGTTAGGGTCTGCCGATATCTTCTTAGGCACATTAGTAACATTATCTGGATAATAATTGCTATATCAGTAAAACATTAAAATACATTAACATACTGGTTGCAGTGGGGCATGTTCCTCCTTCCATTAAGAATTTCCAAGTATGACTTGATAAGATTTTTGTATAATGGAGGAAATCTCTAAGTGCTTTGCACTGTTAACTTTAGAAATGCATATGGCTCATGAGAGAGATAATATTTTTATTGGATTTTTGAAAGATACGTAAAACACATTTTTCAGATATATTATTTGGATGATATAGCCATGTGAACTCAGGAAAGCTTGCCTTATCAACTCATTAAAAATAGCCTTTTGAACACAAAAAGGCCTTAGGAATACAGGAATGGTAACATTACTGAAACAGTCTTAGTTTCAGGCTAAATAAATTAAAGAATCTACTTCATATGCTCTTTTTAATTCCATAATGGAGACACCCGTATTGTATTCTGAAGCAACTATATTAGCAAACTTACCATGGAGCTTCCTTTAGAAGCAAAGGTATTCAAGATTGTTTTAAATTACGATGTTAGATTTTTCATCTAACCTGCTTCTACTTCTTAAAATATGGTTGTAGTACCTCCCACTTGGCAATAGTTATTATCTAAACAAATAACAAAGGGAGCCAGGAGTGGTGATAGTGGAGATGCTGAGAAGAGGAGAGGAGACAAAGGAAGATGTACTAGCAACTGGGCCAGAGATATTCAAATGAGCCACAATCTGAGCTAGCTCACAAATTGTCCTATAAAACATTATCATAATGCAGTTCAAAATGAGCCTCGCCACTGGCAGTGTGTCAAGTAGCAGGCTGTGCACCAAATGGGGCATTGCTGAAGTCACAACATCCACCCTTGCCCCATACTGAGAGATTTAACTTTTATAAACAAAAGTGGGGTGTCAATCCATGAGAATGGAAGCTGTGCTATAGGCAGGCCAACTCTAACCTAGCAGAAAGGCTGCACAGTGTCTTGCTAGTTCATTTACTTTTATGGAAAAACAATGCTGTTCATTGCCTCAGAAGGGTTTCACTTGAGCTTGAAAGAATAATAAAACCTTTTAGCCTACCTTTTTTTTTTAAAAAAAAGTAGCAGATAATAACACCACAGCAGATCAAAACAGTGGATAATACATAGAGAAATGCATGTAGAAAAAACTGCTATCTTATCACCACTGATGCCTTAACTCATTATGGAGAAACTTAATTTGGCAGGACTTTGTGCATGTAAGTTGCTTCCCCCTCTTTTATTTTAGATAGGGATATTTTAATAAATGAAACTGGAAAATTAGCATTGAAATGAGCTCTTTTGTCTTCATCTGCTGCTGCTTGGAAATAAACTGCTGTTCCAGACAGAACTCTTCCTTCCTCTCTTTAGCGGACAAACTATATCAATATTATTATATATAGCTGTATTATGTTTATATTTTTCGGGATACCCAACCCAAAAAAAGTCCTATGAACTATAAAAATGCTCATGTAAACTTTGATCTGAAAAGCTGAACGCTTTCAAGGTTGGATTTTGTTGAGATATTACTATCACTTTTTAAATGGCCATGGCATGCTTCCAAGTGCAGAATGTGTGATGGTCACAAAGTGGACCTATTGCTTGTGACTATGGCTTCCATTTGCTCCATTGTCTGTTTGTCACTTTAAGTCCCCATGCTTCCACTTCAAAATGCGACTAGATCTAGTAGCTCCATTAATCAAGGAAGTGATCAACTGCCATGGTGTTTGGTCTTATTCGACTTTCTGTCTCCCTGAAGCCTGTAAAAAAAGTCCACATGGGTAAAAATAGGTTTCCACAGCAGCTGTTACCATTGCTGCTGATCCTGCCATCCATAAATGCCTGTATGCAATGGTCATAACCTCTCTTCCACTCTGGCATTTGCTCTCTTTGGCAAGCCTAGCCACAATTGACGAAGTGCAGCAAACACAATGCTGCTTTGGGTTGGTTCACGTGGAGCCGTTTTACTCCCAACAAGATGCTGTATTCAAGCTGCTGATTAAATCACCCTTGCTTGGCACTGGCCCTCTCAGGGAAGGGTCCAAGCAGCTTGCAGGAGAGCACATGCCATGAGAACAGATGGGCATACATGCAGATGGCCAAGCAGCATCGGCATCAGTTTGGGGAGTTTATTTCTGACTGAGAATGCTCAAGCAGCTGCCTCCATGCAACTCTGAGTGGGAAGAAGGCTTTGATCCAGAAAAGTGCTTTCATACGCTGCTTGACTTTAAGCACACATTGAGTTTCATTAATCCTAATGAGAGAACACTTGCATGTTAAAAATGCAGCACCCATTTAAATGCCTTGATGAATTGGGAACTGGAATTGATACTGTTATTGCATTATGAATGTGTGATTGATTTTTTTTTTTTTGGACTGATTGTAATGCAAGACTTTCCAGGGACTGCCTTCAACAAGTGTATGATGTTAGATTGGCTGATGGTATGTTGGTATTACTAATGAGAAATGTGTGATGCTTTCATAGTTAGGTTGGCAGACAAATGTTCATCGTGTTCTTTTTACTTGGGGGGTCTGTCTGCTGCTTTCTTGTAGATGTTTCATTACCAACTAGGTAACATCATCAGTGCGAGAAGGGAATGGGGGGTTTGCTCTCATTTCGTATTCCAGTGACTTGCCCTGTCAGTGTTGGTGGGAATCGTCTTGGTGGTTCCTTGATTGTTTTTACTTTCTCCGAAGTTCCCCATAACTAGATTTATAAAGTCCTATAAATAAGAATTTATAGGAATGACATGCTGAATATTTCACAGGAAGTTCAGTTGCCTAATTATATTGTTAGGTTTCTCTTTCAATTCCTACCTCTTGTCAATTATTCCAAACTGTTTATATTCGGGTACTATTTCTATGGATATCTGATGGAAGTCCTTACTCTTATGATCCATGGATCTTCTATAAGCATTTTTCTTGGACTACATTCCCTTAGACAGAGATTGCCTCATTTCTTCATCTTGCACTACTATACAATGGATTTTTAAAAGCAAATTTCTAGAAGTGTTTTTTTTTTTCCTTCTTGTTAAAGAAAGACTAATTTGGTTAAACTTTCAGTGGAACCAAAAGGGCATTGCAGTTGCCTGTTAATATATTTTGTGTATATTTTGTGGCTATTACGAGCAGCATTAATATGGGCTATGTCGGTAATGACAAAATGACATGAATGAGAAAACAGAGTTTAAATGGAAGGAGGGAGAATTAAATGCCCTGTCCCATTACCTCTGCCTTTCCAGGGATAATAATGCATTTCCTGGTAGTGCTTCATTGATGCTGCATGGATTCTTGGCAGCAGAGAATTCATCTTGGTCTATTCCCCTACCATCAAAGGATTAAATGCTGTTACAATCCAAGGTAAATCTTCTCTGTTACTAGAGATGACACCTATGTTTGATATCTTCTGGGAAGTTCTGAATGTTTCTTTTAATCTCCTTCCTTAAAAGAAGAAAAATGATGGAAAATATGTCTCTTCTTACTGTACCAAAGTGATATACTTGAAATTTAAATTATATACAGTATTTAGTTTGGTTGGAAGACCATTATAATTACTGTAAGTAGAGTTCCTTTTTATTTTTCAAGATTACCCGACGGCTATGTAGGATATTCCTTGATTTCTTGGGTAGCCATAATAAACAGTAAGAAAGGTTGGAGCCAAATACTTTGATTAATCAGCATTTATTATTCTCTGCTCATGGGAAACAGATCAAGTGCTATGAAAACAAGAAAGCAGGTTGTGTGTATGTATCCTTGTAGAGTAAAAGCTGCATATTTATTATAAATTAATAGAGTGCAGAAAGGGATGAGTTCAGAAGGCTGGCTGTTGAGACACATTATATGTCATTTACCTGTTTAGATAGAAATGCCTGTAAACTCTGAAAAATGTTATAATTAGCTTAACAGACTGGAATGTAATCTTTACCTGTCATAGCAATTCTTTCTGTCTTACTTTGCAGATATCTTTATCACTCATGCTCTAGCTTCCTCTTTAGTAATGTCTGGATTTTTCAAAAATGACAGTGAGAAAAAAAAGTGCCCACTGGGGAAAGAAGAAATTAGATTTTTAATATCACTTGAAAAGAATATTTATGATTGTACTTTATCACATGCATTGACATTGCCTGTGTCAGCTGTTGTCAGAGGTCTTCCATCCCTAGGTACATGTTAAAAAATGTGTGTTCACGGACTCAAGGTACCAAATATGAAATTGTATTATGATGCTGTAGTATTGACATTGATTAGCGACTGGGTGAATTTAACAAATACAGAAATACTTCATTTGGAAGGCTGGGACCTATTTTTTGGATGGCATGCCTATTTAATATTTAATAAAAAAGTGGATTGGGTTTTTAAGTCTCATATTATAAGAAACTCTTTGCTAAGAGTGTGGAGAAAGTATTATAAAAGTGACTTCAAAATACCATTATGGGCTATACCTCGGCATGCCATAGAAGGTATAAGGAAAGGGGTAAATATGGACAAGGTCTCTTACGTACAGTTATTAAGATGGGATGGCCAAGACTGGCAGTTAAAATCTTTGGAAGAATTAACACATGAAAACTTAACTTATTCATGGTTCCAATATAGACAAATAGTGGATAGATGGAAGATGGATTGTAAAATGGGCTGGCTTAGAGAAGATGAAATTTTTTTAAAACAAGTAAGAGATCAAAGGCCAACCCATATTAAGAGAGTTTATGGGGTTTTAGTGGAATTAGATTCAGAACTTGAACTAGTTAAAGATTGTATGATTAAATGGGCACAGAATATTGGTGAAACGATTTCAATGGATACTTGGGAACTTATTTGGATAAGAAATGTTAAATTCACACAAGCGCAAAATTTAAGAGAGAATTTTTATAAGATGTTTTATAGATGGCACCTTGACCCAAAGAAAATGTCCATTATGTACCCTAATCTACAGCCGAAATGCTGGAGATGTGGATATTTGGATGCTACCTATTACCATATTTGGTGGACGTGTAAGCATATAAAAGCTTTTTGGATTAAGATATGGTGGAATATTCAAAGAATTTTTAAAAGGAGGGTAAAATTTACTCCGCAATTATTTTTACTAGGTATTGTTATTGACTGTGATGCTAAGGAGGTTATATTGATGTTAAATTTGATTACAGCCGCTAGGTTGTTAATAGGACAATATTGGAAGAAGGAATCTTTGCCTACTTTACAAGAATGGTTTCATAAAGTTTCGTATTTGGCAGAAATGGCAAAGATTTCGGCTTTCTTAAAGGAGCAATCTCAAGAAAAATTTTTTGCGGTATGGGAAAAATGGATAAATTTTATACAACATAATTTGGATATGGAAAAATATTATCTAGCCTTTTTATAATTTGTAATGATTGTTTTTTCTTTCTTTCTTTCTTCTTTTTCTTTTTTATATATATACATTTTTTATGTATTATTATTCATATATTTTTTTTTTATATATATATATGCTTTATTCTTCGTCTACTTTCTTCTTTCTTCTTTCTCTCTCTCTCTTCTCTTTTTATTTATTTTTTTTTCTTTTTTAGTATATATTATTCATTTTAAAGTTTATGTTATGTATATTATTATTATATATATTATTATTGTGATTTTTATTATTATTATTAATTATTTTATAAATTGCAAATGTTATTTTTAAAATATTTGTTAAATAATCCTATATTCAGTTCTGGGAAGTCGGGGGGGGGTGGGGTGGTTGGGGAGGGGGGGGTGGATTTTTATTTGTAAAACTTTTGAAAAATTTCAATAAAAAAAAAATGTGTGTTCACAAGTATGGCTAGGAAGAAATTTGAAGATCTTTCCACTGAAGTGTGACAGTGACATAGAGTGAATCTTGCTCTCTGAGAAGTGCTACTTTGAGACACCAATTTAGAGAAAGTTTGCTTAATTCTTATTGTGGATCAATTTACTCAGCATGGATCTTAACATTCTTAAGCAAATAAAAATATTTTTGTGTGCTTGCAAATGATAGGAGAACAATCGTTAACTTTATGAAAGAGGAAATACCTTGTTTAACATATTGGTTTCCCAGAATATGGATTGCCACAGCGATTCAGAACCCAAGAAATTGGGTTGGAGAATTGGAGCAGAAACTGGAACAAAGAAAGTCATATGTATTTGTCAGACTATCAGTCATGTTAGCCTGTTAGGGAAAACAACTATGAGGCCAAAGAATAGAATAAGAGTAAAAATGAATTACTTTTTCAGAGAAGTAAATCACAAAAAGGATCAAATCAGGGATGTTCAGGGTATATGGACTACCTATAGAAGTTCAAATTTAAAATGTAAGTGTAATGAAATTTCTGAAGCTCAGGTAAATACAATACAGAAGACAACACCTTAAAATTTAAAGCAATGAATAAAATTATCTTAAAGTCCAAACTATCAATCCTTTGATCATATGATCTTATATTAGAAGGAGAAAGTAAGCTAAAGTCAAAGAGGAAAAAAAAAAACAGAATGAGAACATTTTGCTATTTTCTTACTAACATTTTTTCTTCTTCTAATGTTACATTGAGAACATGTTCTCCAGTTTTAGGAAACCAACTCTATTTTCTTCACTGTGAATGATGTTGCATCTTATAACTGTTTACACAGTTACTGTTATTGTCACTCACTTTAGGTGGCAAGCTGGCATTTATTGACTCTGGATCCCTAGAACTTCATGCTCATTCCATCCTTGTATCCGATGGAGGAGAACTTCAGATTGGGTCTCCCAGGAAGCCATTTTGTGACATGGCCCATATCCATCTCCATGGAAGCACCTACTCCGAAGGGTTTTTCCCATATGGAGTGAAATTTCTGGCTGTGAGAAATGGAATCCTTTCCATGCATGGTGAGTTATATAGAAAAGATTTTGCTATCAAACCGATATGCCTTTTGATAATCTTCATAGTTGTGGTGAATATGGGTCAGGTTTAATGGAAAAATAACGAGATATTTAGAAGTGCTTAGCTTTCACAATTCATACTGCCAAATTTTAGATAGATAGATAGATAGATAGATAGATAGATAGATAGATAGATAGATAGATAGATAAATAACCTTTATTGTCATTTTTTTACTGCGGGCACAACGGCACACATTAAAAATGAAATTTAGTTGCTTGCTCTCAAAGTGTATGCATATATAACACATATTTAAACATACTATATACAACATATGTATAGACCTACACCCTTACATATAAGTAACATATACCATAAATGTTGGCGTATAAGGCGACTTCCGCGAGCACTGAAATCGGCGCCAAAGACGGGGGTCGTCTTATACGCCGAGTCGTCTTATACGCCGGAAATACTGGTAGTTTCCGGCGTATAAGATGACATTCTAGGAATGTGGCCCGGCTATAAAGATGGGGGTCGTCTTATACGCCGGGTCGCCTTGTATGCCGGCATATATGGTAACTATTAATCACTGTCCATCTTGAATACATAACAGAAGGAGGAAGCTTTAGAGTTCACAAGGTTAATACTGTATGGCATAAAACTGTGGCTGAATCTGGATGTTCTGTTTTGGACACCACGGAGCCTCCTTGGAGAAGGTAACAAGGAAAACAGGTTGTGAAGAGGGTGGTCATGTCCCAGGCAATCTTGCGGACCCTGCTCAAGCATGTCCTGAATGGAAGGGAGGGAACTGCCAATGATCTTTTTGGCCATCCTCACCAGTCTCTGCACCACCTTCCTGTCTGAAGCAGTGATGCTTCCAAACCAGACTGTGATGCTGTATGACAGGATGCTCTTGATCATCCCCCTGTAGAAAGTGGTCAGGACAGGGGAAGGAAGATGTGCTTTTCTTGTGCAATGCAGAAAATGGCGCTGCTATGCCTGCTTTGCCAGTCTCTCACTGTAGAGCGACCAAGCCAGCCTACTTGTTAACGGCACACCCAGGAATTTGATGCTGGTAACCATTTCTACAGGTGATTCATTAATACCCAGAGGATTGTGGCTGTGCCTGCCTTTTCTGAAATCGACAATGATCTCTTTGGTTTTTCCAGTATTTAAAACTAGGCTGTTTTCCTTACACCAGTTCACCAAACCCTCAACCTCCTAGCGGTAAGCACCCTCACTGTCATCATGAATAAGGCCCACTACTGTTATATCATCTGCGAACTTCACAATATGGCTTGTGGCAAACCTAGCACAACAGTCAATAAGGTGAACAGCAGCAGACATAGGACACAGCCCTGAGAGAACCTGTGCTCAAGAAAATGGTGTTAGAAATATTTGTTCCAGCTTGCACATATTAGGGCCTGTTAGTAAGAAAATCACGAATCCAGTTGCACAAAGGAGTATTTAAGCCTAAAAGAGCAGAGCAAGAAACAAGTGGCCCTCCAGATATTGCTGAAATTCAAGGTCCATCAAGTCATGATTAAGGGAAAAGGAGACTGCTGAGAGATGCTGTAGTAGAAACAGTCCCAGAAATTTTGTTGCTAAGTTTCAATAGATGAGATGAAACTGTGGCATGATTTCAGAAATGGGTCCGTCAACTTCCATTTAGGTTTACAATATCAGTTGTATGTACCACATCTCCTCCTGGCCATTCTGTCCATCAGCCTATGCTCTGTCTGAGCTCTACTATAACCTGTTGTCAGAAACATATGCAGAATCTTGCTCTTTTCCTTCTTTAGAACAGCAACCTTACACTATGGGTACAGATTTCCTTTTGCAACTCCCTGCTGCTGTTCTGTTTAACCATCCATGAAGTATATCGGAAACATACTTTGTAGTGGATTTGAATCCAGTGTATTAATAAAAGTGCTAACATTCCAAGTTAATAATGAAAGTTTGACTGGATGGAACCATCCATAGCAATAGTAGCTTTGAGTGCAGGACAAGAGAGAAAACAGGGATCTGTCAAAGAATCTAGTCATTTTATTTTGCTGCCACTGTTTGCTTTTACTTTTTTTTTTTTTAAAGTGCTGCCAGTTCTAGACCAGGGCTTTTCAACCAGTGGTAAGGGTACCACCTGTGGTACATTGGCACCTGGCAGGTGGTACACGACCATCCTAGAAAAGTGGTAGCGGGGGAGGGGAATGAGCTGAACCGGTGGCAGCACCGCACAAGCTTGAGTGAGAGATGGCAGGAGCTGCAGGGCTGTCAGGGCTCAGTGGAAGCACCAGGATCAGTGCTGCTTTCCAGCTGATCGGCGCTTCTTTGGGGCTGTCACAGCTCAGCAGAAGCGCCAGGCTCTGCGTCAGGCTCCAGCTGGAGCTCAGTGCTGATCCTGGTGCTTCTGCTGAGCCCAGAAAAAGTGCTGATCAGCTGGAATGTTGCAGCATCTCTGGGATCTTGTGATTTACATTCAGATGCTTGGCAACTGATTCATATTTATGATGGTCACAGTGTCCCAGGGTCATGTGCAGTGACCAAAACCTGCTGCAACCACCCAGCAGATGGGGGGGGGGGAATAAAAACCAAACAACCCCCCACCCCACCCCCACTGCCAATCCTGAACAGAAATGCTCACAACAATGAAAACCTCGGACAGGAGGAAGAGTGCTGCTGGATGGGCAGGCAGGTGTCTTGCTCAGCTGTGGCTTGGGGGGCACTTTTTTCAGTGCCATTGTAACTTTGAACAGTTACTAAGCGAACTGCTGTAAGTTGAGGACTACCTGTACTTTATCACTTTTTTCCTTTTTTTTTTGGGTCATCAAGTTTTTGACACCAAGTGGTATAATCGGTGAAAAGGTTGAAAAGCCTTGTTCTAGACAACCTATGGATAAATAAAAAAAAGTCCACTGGGTGTCTCTTTGCAAGATCACTGTTATGCGTGTTAGGGAATCTCCACGACATGAGTGTTTTTGTGGATTTATTCTGGATGTCCAAAAATGCCACTTCCTTACCAGAAATTCCTTTATTTAAATATAGGAGGTAGGAGATGTGCCTCTTTATTTAGCATGGAGTGGACATTTTTTAAAAAATGTTTATTTAGGATTTATTTAATCTTGGAGGGTATGTTTGTGTTCAAATGGCAGACGATTTGGATTGCTTACTCTGCCAAATAACATCAGACAAAAACATCCTGAATCTGGCATTTCTGAATTTATGGTTAATTTTCAGGTAAAATCAGTTTGTTCAACTAATGCTACTTTAGCTGTTACTTACATATTTCTGTGGTTGTGATGCCTTCTTCTGTTAGTGAATTCACAAGGTAAGTTCCAAATAATGACAGATATGGGGCAAAAATGGAGCCACAGAAAAACAGTGTTTAACAAAAAGCTAAAATAATGTAAGTGGGTGTGAGAGAAGGCCTAACAGATCTTAGGTATATAAAAGAGAGAGGAGGGCAGTTGAGGGAGAGAATGGAGCCTTTAAAAGAGGTTTTTGAATCCAGAGGAGGGGTGAAGAGCTAGAAAGTGACTCAGAGTAAGCCTACCTTAATTATACTACATACAAGTTGTTTGGGATTATTTTGCTCAGTTTTCAAGAGCTGTTACATTAATGTAGCAATAATAAAATCTTACCAGAAATCCAAGAGATTCTTGTTTCTTAAATTTGCTATCCCTCAAAGGCTTGAGAATGGACTATGCTTTACCCTGACTTTCTCACCTGAACAACAGCAGCAACAACAACCACGAAGCCTATTCAGGCATAGACAGTTGAGGGCTATTTGGAAAAGCAAAGACACACATGGAATGAAATTATGGCTGTAGCCTGGTTATTCAGGGCCCACCGCAGTAAATTAGTTGAGTTCTCTGCTAAGAAGGAGCCTCCATTCCTCCATAGTTTGCTGCTTGAGAGAGAGAGTGAGTTAAAAACCTATTAGAAAGTGAATGAGAATATATGAGGAACCACTGTATCCTGATGGGATTAACCTACCCCACTCATTTCAGTGGAAAGGGCCTACTCCAGATCCTGTTAGCCAAAGAATTTCAGCTGGCAGGGTCCAGGAGAAGAGCTGCTGTGGCCCCTGCCCTCTGGAATACTTTCCCATCAGAGCGTGAGATTCATCCCCACCCTCTTGGCCTTCCGGAAGAACTAAAAACCTGGCTCTGCTGCTTGGCCTGGGCTCCCAATAGGGCCCTGCTACATTGGGTGTGGCTAACAGGATAGAGAAGATTCTCACCCCCCCCCCAAGATTGCCCAATCATCTTGGTTCTTAACTTTTAATCTTTTTATTCTACTTTTAATTGTGTTTAGCATTTTTAAACTTTTTATTATATTGTAAGCTGCCCAGAGTCGCTGTATTAGTGAGATGGGTGGCATAGAAATTTAATATCTAAATAAATAATAAGAGAGAGAGGGGGGTTGCAAAAAGAGAAGTGGTTGTTTGACTCTTACCCAGTAAACCATGCAGGTTCTTGAGAGAACAAAGCTGCCTATGTCTGTCCTAGATATTCTTGTTCACTAGCAAGAATTCTGAATTTTAAATTCCAGGATACACAGAATGTTTTGATGTTAGGTGAGGGTTGCATGCTAATTGGAATAAAAAGGAACTGGCTTCTTCAAACACTATATGGTTTAGAATAAGCACTCTTGGTTGCACTTTAGTACTGGGGAATGTATACTGTGAAATTGACATTTTTCTTCTTGCATTATATGCCTGGTATTTCAAAAGGAGAGAATGAACAACTTCTTACTTTCCTATTTTTCCCTTCTACTATGTCTCTATGAAATGCTCAGGTTCAAATCTCTAATCCAGTCCCAACAATGAGTTGTCTAGCCCTAATACCAAGCAGCACGGGAGGGGCATAGGAATGGGACAGAAATAAGGTGGGTTTTCTTACTTCTTCCTGACAGCCCTTCCTCAGCCATGAATTTATAGCTTTGGCTGATCTGGAACAGTGAAAGAGAACATTTCTTTTATGGAGGAGATTGCAGTATTTGACTCTAG